GGGGGGGGGACAAATAGAACCCCTATTCCGGAGGGGCACCCTCTATGTCTCTAGGGTGGCTGTACCTGGTCGGAACTTAGGGGCAGACGGACCACAAGTCCCCGCAGCGGGTGGGTGGGGGGAGCTGTGGGGCAGTGCAATTCAGCCCCCTTTGAGGAGGGGGGTCTCGGGTTTACCTGTTTCTCCCCCCCCACCTCCATCCCAATGAAGGTGTGAGAACCAAGACCGTAGGAGCAAAAAAAAAAAAAATGCGCTGGAAAAAACAAAGAGGAAGTACAACTTTGGGGAACCAAGGTGTGGGTCAAATTCCGCCCCCCCCTTCCTCATTCCCTGACACCCCCCACCCCAATTCATTACCTGCAGCAGCCGAAGGTAGAAATGCACCTTTAAACAGGTGAAGCTTTTTCTCTGCCAGGAACCGGAACGGGGGTGTGTGTGAGATGTTTGCGTTTTCGGGCAGCTGCAAACTTTGGTGCGCTTGGAAAAAGCTAGAAGGATGAAGGCTGGCTCTGCCCCCAAGGAGGGTGGGAGGGAGGGGCTGCCCCCCCGCCCGTATTACCAGAGGTGGCCTAAAGGTGGAGCTCTCACCCCACAATCACAGGAGGTTGTCAGTTCTAGGATCGTAGAGGCAGATATTTCTCTCTCTGTGGCATGGTGAGAATACATCTGCCGAATAGAACTCCACACCGGAAACAGGAAGGGCATCCGGCCATGCAAACACGCTGCTAGCTACGCTCAGTTGCCTAGACTCCACCCCGCAAAGGATTATGGGGTCTCAAGGGGGTCTGGTGGGAGGAGGGGGGCACCTGCTGGCCCGGAGAAGGCCGGGCAAGGCAATTGCCACCCCTTTGTGGCTGCGACCCCAAACTTCAAACCATCCTTTTGTGGCTCCGAGTCCATTCAGTCAATTCCAAGGTTGAACGAGAATATTCTGAGGATATTTCCGGTTCCCTGACCGGGTGTGTTGACAGTAAAGATGAAAGTTCTATTGAGCATGTGTAGAGCGCTTGGCGCGAAGCAAACAGGGACGGAGAAAGGCTGGGTTGTTGCCAGCTTGCCCTTTGAAGGAGGCCATGCCACCGTGTTGTAAGCGGTCCTCGACTTATGATTCATTTAGTGACCGTTCAACTTTCAAGCTGAATTTACGACCATTGCAGTGTTCCGTGATTTCCCCTATTTGTGACCTTCAGACATGCCAAATCCATGGGAAAAGGCAGGTTCTCCAATTCTGCAGGATTTAATTATTTATTCCTTTATTTATTAAATTCATACAGGTAGTCCTCATCATACGACACCCGGGATGTGTGTGTGTGTGTGTGTGACCCGTTTTACGACCACCATGATCGAGGACCATCCGGGACTAGTCCCATTATGGTTGTTAAGTCGAGGACTAATCTTGTCCTGTGGCCAGGAAAACCTGGTTTCCCAAACGGGGCTGGTTTGAATCCTCAACCTCTGGAACTTTAAGGGCACCGCGGACTTCCAACTCCCAGAATTCCCCAGCCGGCATCCTAAGGCGTCCCTTGGGTTGCCGTCATTCCATCCCCTGGATGCAGCTGTGGTGCCACTTAGCCCCGTGAGGGTGAACCTATGGCCAGTGTGCCACAGGTGGCATGCAGAGTCCTTTGTACAAGCCCAGCCAAACTTACCTGCACTGCACATGCATGCGCCTCCCGGAGGCTGGAGGGAAGCCTCTGCGGCCTCGGGAGGCGAAAAACCGGGCCTTCAAAAAATACTAGAAGTGCCGAAACGGGCCTGTTTTTTGGCCTCTAAAGGCCGCAGAGGCTTCCATCGGGCCTCCGGGCGGCGCATCCATGCGCAGTGCAGATAAGGGGGGAGTGTTGCATGTGAAGGAAGGTAGGGCGCATTGCATTGTGGGTGCTGGCACGCGTGCGCACGCTTACAGCACACAAAAAGGTGCGCCATCACTGACCTGGCTGTAGGCGAGCCTCCGGGAGGGCGAACGCGGCCTCCCTGGGCTCCCGAGGCCCTCCGGAAGCCCCATTTTTCACCCTCCCCGAGCCTCCGCCTTGACCCTGCGCTTCCCTGACACCCAAAAAGGACCGCGTGGAGATTCCTAGCCGGGCCCAGGCCAAGGGGTGGGATTTGTCGAACCCGTCATTAAAAATTGATAAAATTAGCAACCGGGTCGCCCCAGCCGGTGCGAACCGGTAGCAGCTCCTGCCTAGCCCATGTTCTGCCATTTAAACCAGGGGTCTCCAACCTTGGCAGCTTTAAGACTTGTGGACTTCAACTCCCAGAGTTCCTCAACTAGGAGTTGAAGTCCACCAGTCTTGAAGTTGCCAAGGTTGGAGACCCCTGGTTTAAACTATCCTGAGAGAATCTAGTTCAGGGGGCGCCAAACTCAAGGCCTTCCGGCTAGATGTGGTTGGCGATCTCCGGCCGTCAGGGCCATCTGGGTCTACCCAACGCGAAGAGGAAACAGGCCAACGGTTTGGCGAGTGGCATTAGGCTGGCCACGGCCACCCAGTCGGCCACACCCACCTGGTCAGCCTCCCCCCTCCCCGTGGTCATCCACAGCCCAACGAAATTGAATTTGACACCCTTGCTCGAGTTAAAAGCTTTTGCTGGTATCCAGATAAACTACGTCAAGGCGTTCCCCCCGTCTACTAAAACAAGGAATTAAACTTTTTCAAAGGTTTAGCTGGCAAAAAGTGGAAACGCGCGCGATTCCGACACACCGCGGATGCTCCCAAGAAGTTTCCGAAACAAACAAGCATAAACGGGGTACGGAAACGCCATTTGGAAAGCTTATTCTGAAGAATCTACTATATCCCCAACAAAAACCATCATTCTTGCACTCTGGAGAGCCATGTTTATTCCCAAATAAAATTCACAGCTTTGTTTCCAAAAAAAACCACCCCCACGTTCCCCCCCCACTCCAGACCCCGACACACGTCACTCGTTCCAGACTTGGGAGAAAAATAAAATAAAATATTCGATTCGGAGTGCAAATGGATTCCATCACTTGTCCCTTCGAATTCATTCTGAGACGATAAGACAGTTCAAAAACAATAAATTAAAAAAAAAAAAAACAAGGAAAGAAGAGACAAAAACAAAACAAAACAGAAGAAAGTTCAAAATGAAGAAAACTTCCCCTATTTTGATCTTCGCTGTCCTGGCTGGGTTTTTTTGTTTTTGTTTTGTTTTTTGCCAAAAATTCACCCCAAATCCAACCGGGGTGGAAAGAAAATTTGGGGGAAGTGTGCTCAAAACTGCCACCCTCCCCCCCCACACCTTGGGCAACCTGAGTAACTGAATTTAATTTTTGGAGAGTCCCGCCACTCCGTGAATCCTGGCCGAAGGAAAAGACCATCTTCCAGGTGGATTTTGATCCTTTGAGGAAACTTCACAAGGTGGTGAGTTTGAGATCGTAGGCTTTCCTGGCCAGCTTTTCCGGATCGTTGGACGCCATGAAGGAAAAATCTTGGAAAATGTCCAGGTAGGTTTCGTCACCTGGAACCAAAAAGGACAAGGATATATATATATACAGTATTATCATATAAGGCCTTGGTAGGACCACGCTTGGAATACTTGCAATCCAGTTTGGGTCCATATAAAAAAAAATAGATTTTTGAGACTCTAGAAAGAGTGCAGAGAAGAGCAACTAAAAGGATTAGGGGACTGGAGGCTCAAACATACCAAGAACCGGGCTTGGCTAGTTTGATGAAAAGAAGGAATAGGGGGGGGGACGTGATAGCAGTTTTCCCTATATTTGAGGGGCTGCCCCCAAAGAAGAGGCAAGGAACCAGGAGGAGGCGAGTTCTAGTCCTGATCCAGGCCTTAAAAAGCTCCCCTTTTCGTCTTGAAAATTCACATTTGGCAAAGAAACATCTGTGTTAAGAGGCTGAGTCGGTCTCTTTCTCCCACCTCCCCCCCACCCCTGTCCATTCCTTCTTACGGAGGGCAAGACTCACCCGACTGGCCCAAGGCCAGCTCAGCTTCCCGCATCTTGGCCAGTCGTAACCTTTAGAGGAAGGAAGGGAGAAGTCACGGAGAATCCCGAAATAGGACAATTATCCCTCAAAAAACACAGCGTCCCCTCCCCACCAAAATACCCCCCCCCCACCAACATAAGTCTCCATCTTGCAGGAAATTGGGGGACTTTCACCCCAACCACATGGAGAGCCTCACTCTACTGGTGTCTAGACTACTGCAATGCATTCTTTCCGGGGCTGCCCTAGGAGACTATTCCAAAACTTCCCATTAGTAAGACCTGAGTGGGAATCTTCCAGACGGCATTCCATCCTGGTTTATCTTTACATGCTCAGGGGGCAAAGAGGAGGGACAGAAAACACCTGCCCGATCTTAAGAACCCGTTACGGAAACTCCGCCCGCTACCAAAATGGGAGGGGACGTCTTGGATGAGTGGCGGCATTCAAATTTTTCTACTACCAGTTTTGTGGGCGTGGCTTGGTGGGCATGGGACTGGAGGGGGTGTCAAAAGACAGAAACTCACTTTCTGGAGCAGGGGGTTGGACTAGATGGCCTCCAGGTACCTTCCAGCCTTGGATTGCTGTGCTGTTCCAAAGCATCCTCTGAAACTGCATCTAGGGCCAAGGTGTGTGGTCCTTCCTCCCTCTCCTTTTTTCCTCCCTCCCTCTCTCCCTCCCTTTTTCTTTCTTTCTCCTTCTTTTTCTCTTTCTTTTTCCTCCTTTCTCTCTCTCGCAGCATCTTGCCCCCTTGTGCAATTTTTTTTACTACCAGTTCGGTCGAACTGGGCCGAACCGGTAGAATACCACCACTGGTCTGGATGGCCACTGGGTGACCCCAATCCGTGCCACGAATCCACTTTTGCCCCACCCCCTCCGACTCATGACCCGCCTTTCTCCAAACTGCAGAGAGCGGGGGGGGGGGGGTGTTTTCCGGGGAAAGCCAGGAGTGTTGAGTGACAGCCCCCCCAACACCCAATACATCCCGCCTTCTTCCAAGGCCAAGATTGGCACCCGCTCCCCGGCTCCCTCTGCCTTTTCTTACAGGGTTACAATGTCTGCGTTGGCCGAATCGATGGCGATGCCCAGGGGGTCTTTGCCTTCCCCGTCGACTGCATTCATGTTAGCGCCGCGTTTGAGAAAAAGGCAGGCCAGCCTGGGGGGGGGAGGGGGTTGGGGGGGGAGGGAGTGGGAAGAAAAAAAACGGGGTACAGAAGTTGAAAGAAGAAGTTCCTGGAGAGACAGATCGCCCAGCTCATCGGGCGAACCAAATTCGAAAAGGTCATTGTCAGGATTCCAGCAATCACCCTAATTGATTCGTGATCCTCGAGCCAAACTTCAAAAAAACTTCCAAGGATTCATTAGAGGTGACATACTGGCCCTGCCCTGTATAAAGCCAATCCTGGCATAGGTAATTAAATAGTCCCCTGTGACCCTGTTTCCCCCCCCCTCCCTCTTGGGTGTCTCATAAACCAGATTCTCCAATTGACCCCGTTCACGGGCTGGGTGTCATCAATCACGTTCTCCAATTAAATCCATCCTCAGGCAAAACCTGTGGTATTTTAGTTCCAATTTTTTAAAGCTAAGAGTTGGAATGTACTTTTGCTGTCTTTTCGCTGCTGTTAAGCAGATCTCTGAAGTGAGTTTGCTAATGAAATGTCTGTGAGAGCACCCTCCCTCTGTTATTAAGTGAGTCATTAAGTGGCCGTTAAGCAAATCTGGCTTCCCCGTGGTCGCAAAAGGGGACCGAAAGGACGTGCCAGTTGCCGAGGCTCTGTATTTTGTCCCGTGGAGGCTGCATGAAAAACGGTCATAACTCAGTGCCACTGAAACTTTTTGGTCACTAAACGGATGGTCATAAGTGGAGGACTAACTGTGTCACATAGCACAATGCTGGAAAAAAAACCACATCATGAATGCGAATCGCGTGTGGCAAAAACTCCAGAGCTGGTAACATCACAAGCACAATGTTTCCCTGGCCAACTGCAACAACACCCAACATCCCCGACTTCACAGCTTATGCCAACTTCTTATTAGAGAGCGTGCTCAACCCTCGGCCATTTTAAGAAGCGTGGACTTCAACCCCCAGAATCCCCCAGTTCTAAGCCAAAGCAAAGCTGGCTGGGGGAATTCTGGGAGTTGAGGTTCCCACCCGTTTTAAAACCCCTTGCCGGGGTTTGAAAAAGAAGTCGTTGAATCTCATGGATATAATTTTGAACAGTCACTAAATGAACAAGGTTGTTAAGTCAAGGCTACTGTAATTCAGCCTCTATATCCGTGATGGCGAACCTATGGCACAGGTGGTACGCAAAGCCATTTGTGCTGGCACGCGAGCCGCAGGCAAACTTACCTCACGGTGCGCATGCGCGCACCTCACAGTTGATTTTCAGCCTGTTTGAGGCCTTTTTTGGCCTCCTAGAAGCTTGAGGGCAGCTTCTGCAGCCTTTGCAGGCCGAAAAATAGGCCCGTTTCTCACTTCCTGTAATACCGGAAGTGACAAAACAGGCCAATTTTTCGGCCTGCAACGGCTGCAGAAGCTGCCCTCAA